ACAAAAATGCCTTTTAATAGGAACATACTTTCTGTTTCATTGATGAGTTGGAATGTTTTTTCCACTTTGAAATGGGGGGAGAGGGTTAACCTTTTTTTATTGTCTTCTGATTTCTTGGTAATTCACTGGTAGTTGTTTTTACATAGAAGCCAGTGTTTTGATTGTTCAATGTAGGACGGTGGTTCTCCATTTTTTGGTAACCAAAAGCCACAAGGCAGAATGAGTCTAGTAGTGAGCAATCCTCAGAAACACTTTTTACTTTGAGTCAATTTGCTCCATGCACACAGAAGCATTGGCAATTCCTATTTTATATCTTTTTGAAAGAAACCAAACAATCAGTTAAGGAAGACCCTTATTTCATGGTCTGAGCTATTAAACAGAATTCAGTTTTCAGTGCAGTTCACGAAACAAAGTCTAGGATGATGTGGCGTACTTGTGAAAATATCACTTAGTCCTAGTTTTGCTGTTGTCATCTTTTATTGCATCATTTTAGAAGAATTTGAGATACGTGTAAGGGAATCATGGGAAATTGGTGACGTTTTTCAAGTTTCATGCAAAAGGTCTTTCTGACCTGTTGTGGTTACTTTTCGTATGTCCTCTGTGCATATAAAGCTGTGCAGATATTGGTGGCTCTGAATGGACTAAGGATCCTCAGATGCCACTGTCTCGGGGGATAATCTTTGCCAAAACAGTTGGGCAACCATTTGAATTGCTTGGAAATTTTCTGATGAAATAGTATTTTGCTGAAATTTATCAGCATGGTGAAACTGAAATGTTTTGCAGATACAGACTGACTTTTGCCAAAGTTCTGATGGAGCCTAAACAGAGCTGTTGCTTGTGGACAGGTCTTTGATTTGGCTGCTTTTCTAGTAACTCACCTACTTGGCAGGTTACTGTGATGCTGGGGCTTCTGGTTGTATTGTTCTTTCTGCTTTTCCGACAGCACCCCCAGGTAGCTTTCTTCCTGGGATAAGCTAGCAAGGGCTTCATCCTGTTGTGAAGAACTTAGAAATCCCAGTATTTTTTATTATTATTTTTATTCCTAATCAGAATGAAAATATTAAAAGCCTCATACTAACAGCTCCTGTCCACTTAGTCCCTGTGTGTCATGCAAGCGGATCAAGCCAGGATCATTGCTCCTTCCTTGTGCAAAAGTTCAGGGACTTTTGCTGAATTGCTGATACAGGCAGTGGTTTGCCAAGTGAAAACTGTAAGCAAATGTTATCTTTGCTTCTCCACTTTTTTTACCATATGTTTTGTCATTGATATGTGAGTCTGTCATCTTCCTTCTGTATCTGCTTGTTAACATGAGCATTCAAATTTTGATACATTAAAAATCCTTGTGTGATATTAATGTATAGCTGATGAAACAGGAAAATTCCTTTGGAGTCACTTAACTTTTTGCAGTGGTTTCTTGTATGAGCGGTTATTTTCTTATGTCAGTGGCTTTCCTTCGTGGCAGGGCAACTTTTAGATGCCCCAGTAGACAGGGTATGTTAGAAAAAGACCATGAAAACTGAAGACATTTTCTTTCTCTGCAAAACATCTTTAAATATATTTTAAGACAATATTTTATTCCTGTGTGAAAGCTATTTTTGAAGTCAAAACAAATATTACCTGGGAAAAGATGATGGAGTTTTCTTAATGCAGAAGACGATGCGTTTAAAGCACAGATTAACTTTGTGTAAACTTGACATCTGTTGTCTAAGCAGTGGGAAAAGTTCTCAGATTTTCCAGATTGCTTAGTATTTTTAAAGGTATTGTTGAGTACTTCAGTAAAGTTAGTCAGAAGAATGTTTTCTCATGAATATAGAGTGGAAAGATATGAATCTGTTGCTGCGAATTTCTTGTGAAATACTAGCTGATGTACTGTGTTCTGAGCAAAGACTTGATAATCTTTTGTTGGTCCGTTAAGGAGCAGTGACGTTTCTGCACATGCTGATGTTTTAAAAACACAATACTGCCTGTCAAAGTGGCACATGCATTTCATTTCTTGAATTTAGTGTACTTTCGTATTTAAAAATCCCACCAAAACAAACCTGCATACGCAAAGCATATCAGACCAGATGTGCTCCATTTATGTGTGTATTAAAACTGAACTGTGAAGACTATAAATAAGTATAAAGTATGCATGTTAAGTGTAAACCAAACAAACTAACCAAAACAATTAGAAGTAGGAAACTGACTTTTCTTCTTAGTCTAATCTCAGTTTTAGAGGTAAAATATTTGGTTTGGTAGTCTTGTAACAAGATGCATGATACTTGTTAGAGCTTAGGGATGCTCTCCAGTTACTACTGACTAATGTGAGACCTGTTAGCATTTTTTGTGAGACTAGAAAAGTCTTTCACCTACAGTCTTAACCACCTACCTACCTACCGTTACTTGGGAAGGCTTTCATGATTGAGGTTTACAACGTTCATTCAAATTCCTTGAAAGAAGGATGTGTGTATAAGCATATGGAAAGTGTGCACGTTTTTGTCATCTCCAGTTTACACAAGGTGTCCGTATCTACTGGCAATAAACGTGGAGTTTTTGGAAGACAACCTATGTCTTCAAGGCCTTACTTGTCAATAGAAAATGCTGTTTTGATCTTTCTCCTTTCTTGCTAGTAAATTGACTATTCAAGATATTCAGTGACACACACAGTAAACACTAATTGTATTTATAGGGGTTTTGAAAGCTTGCTGGAAAGTGACTGTTTCAGGTTGTAGAACCTCTTCTGCGTAACAAATTCTGGATTGTGTTCTTTGCAGATAATGGCAACTTGGAGATGATGTACGAATTTGTTTTGACTGAATTTCATTAGACTCTGGAACTGAGTATTTAAATCCTTGCAGCTGCCAGAAGCTGAGAGAAGCTGGTGTAGACTTTTACAAATCGGAGGGCAAGAGTAAATGGGGGAGCTAGGTCGCTGGCAAGATGGTGCAGTCAGATTGGTACAGCCAGGAATGTAGGTAATGTTCTTTGCTACTGTGCTGCTAAAAGAACTAATTGTGTCAGATGAGAATTAACTCAGCCTGAAAGTAGATAAACGGTATAGTTTTATAAGATCTTGATGCAGATCCTATAATAGGTATGTCTGTAAATATGTGCAGAAGAAAACATGGTTACCTCTTTCTTAAAAAAGTTTGTTGTTTTTTTTTTTTAAAAAAGACAGATGAGTGTTACTATAACACTGTGAGCCTGTTCAGCTTGAAGTTTTTAATCTCCAAATTTCATTGTTTTTTGTCCAGAGCTATGAACTGCTTTTTCATAAGCAAGTGATCATTTTTCTGTTTGTCATGTGAAGGACAGGCTAGATATTAGGCTGCTTTATCCAGTTTTTGTGTTTGAAATGCAAGCTGCGATGTCGCTGCGCTTATTCAGAGTGTTGCAACCCTTATTCCACTGGGCTCTGATAAGCAGAGAGTAGAAGTGGCTTGAGTTCTTAGCTTAACCTGACTTGTCCCATCAGTTCAGCAGCAGCTGTCTCATATAGCTAATGATGTTATGCAATTGATCTGAGTTTATGGAAAAGCTACACAATTAACTACAGTCAGGTGAATCTTCATGCTGTTTTGCTCAAGGTCAGGAGCTGAACTGGGAATGATGAATGCAAAGCATTTCTGAGCACGGAATAGTACTTTTAAAATAGAAAGTAATTTAGAACCCAGCAATACCCTTGGTCTGAAACCTGCATGAGCAGGAGGTGGTTCTGTGCTGCCTTTGAAGCTGGTGCTCTCAGGTCAGTGTGCATGAAAAGCGAGCTCAGCAGGTCAGCTGTGGACTGCTGTGCCCCAAACATCCCTCCTTCTGCCCTGCCAGCACTGTCGTACAGGTCTGCAGAACTTGCCCTGGCTGGGGTGGGCTTGGGTCGACCTTAATTGGCTGGCTAGACAGCATTTGAAGGAGAATCCCTGGAGGTGCATACAGAATACACAGCTGTCCAAGCAAGGCAAAACTGCTTATCTCTACAGGCAGCGTTGCGAGGGAAGAAACGCTAATCATTGCCTCAACAGTCTAACTTCTGTGGGGAAAGAAGCTGAATTTGCTGCTCATTAAGATGGGTTCCTTTTTTGGGGGGTGTCGATGATGGACTCCGTAGACACGGCACACGGTGCTGAGGAAGTGGTGTTGATTTCCTTCTTTTCTCTCCTGTCCAAGGAGATTTCTGTCCAAAGAGTCCTCGAATATAAAACTTGCAGAGTTCTCCCATTCTGAATTCTGCCTCCTGTGAACTTCTATTGTATTTTTTTTCCCCTCTATTCAGTTTTATAATTCATTTTTGCTTCTCTGTCCCTTTGCTAGGCTGGGAGGGTCACCACAGGGAATTTATCTTTTCACTGGTGCAGGAAGCTGCTGTTGGGCTTAAGTACTTTCAAATGGTGTTTCCTGCAACCACAGAAATGTTGTGCAAAGAGGGCAAGGGTGGGTGTGCCCTTATCCTTCCTGCTACAAGACGCTTGGTGTTAACTTCCACATGAATTTGAAGTGTGTCTCTGTTGTCAGTTTTCAAATAGAAATAATTATTCTGGCTAAAGGAGTGTTACTATGTGAAGTGAACATACCATGTGGATTTTTTTGTAATTACTTTTCCTTTTTCATTTCTCTTTTCTTTATGTAGTGCCATCAACAGTTTCTTAAACTGAGGCTGTATTCGCAGAAAAGAAAAACATTATGAGTGGAAAAAAAATTAGAAATTATATTTCAACTCAGATGTCTGTTTCGTGCACCAGTTTCTTGCTATAACTGAGGAGCAGTCTCTGATAGTACCAAAAATGTGTTTTTAAAAATCTTGGGTTTGTTTGCTTGTTTGTTTGTTGGTTTTTAAACTTTATATTTTAAAAAACCTAAATTTAAAAAGATCTCGGCAAAGAAAACAAGGAATTTGGCAAATGAAATAGGAGTGGATCACTATCTGAACCTAAACACAGATGTGAATTTTAAAATAATGATGCATTATGTATTGTTCACAGCCATTAACTTTTTTTTAATATTAAGTGTGTTTTTATTGCAGATACATTATGTTCCACCACTGCGTGTGTGCCTGCTTTGTCTGACCTCCTATGGATACCAGCAGCAAGTGGGTGACTTGTGATGTGCTTATTTAAAGGGCTTCATCACTCTCATGTTTCATACAGAGATTTCTCAAGTGATAAAAGGTAATTAACAGACAGCGATTTATCTGTAGTGAGAGAAAGCTCTGATTTTTGAACCTCCAAAGTTGTATATTTGAAGTGTATGTCTTAAGATCCTAGCCCTGGATGTTTCCCACAAAAGGAAAAAAAAAAAAAAAGAAAATATGTAAACTGAAGGTGAGGTAGGATTATTTTCAGGAAGCGTTTAGATTTCACGAAACTGGTAGAGCCAATAGCTCAGATTGTTTGTAAGAAGAAAAAATGTTCTGAATGGAGTTGTGAATGCTGCGTATTATTAAATCATGATGATTTTGTATGTCCTCCACATTTTAATGGAATTTCTTGCAGAAGTGGTCATTTTCAATCTCATTAATTTCTTCCTGGTTGACGTAAGAGGAACCATATGAATTAGTGCAGCCCAGTGTGACTGGTAAAATTAATCCTCAGGTGCATTGGAGGTACAGACAGCAAGAAAGAATTGCATGTAAAAATGTTGCATTGTAGATGCTGGTGATTGTGGTTAGAGCAATATGGAGAATGATTAATCTCATCCTTTAGAAGCTGAGACTTGAAATATTACTCAGATGAGGAACATTAAAATAATGCTCTTGGATCAAATCCTCTGTTCATCAGTACCAGAATTAGATCTTTGATAGTAACTTTAATCTCCTATCAAAGCTCCTGTCCTATATCTCTATAAATCAATATATTTATATTCCATCCAGATTTTGTTACACATTCTTGTTACCTGTATAAATGGACAGGCTATTTTTGACTTTCACTGAGTCCTGATTTTGTTAGACGTGCACTTTCATCTGTGTGGACCTGGTACGCAGCTCCTTTTTGGCAAACAAATGCCTCTGTGGTCCTGTGAGTAACTTACCTACAAAAGTCCCATTTTGGCTATATTAAAACCTTTTATACAGCTATGGGGATTCTTTACACGAACATTTACATTTTATACACAAACACAGAAATTCTTTTGAATTGCATATGATAACAAATCTGTTTTCTATTCATTAGAAAATGACATTCAGCTATATTCTGCAAACAGGTACATTAATGTCTCCCAGTATATTTAGTCTCAAAATTGATGCAATGGTCTATAGATGGAACAAAGAAGGGAAAACTGAGTGTGTCCGACTGAAGGCTTCGCTGCTAAGAAATGCAAGTGAAAGCAATTTTGCTAATTATGAGCTCTTTCACACTGCCAGTGAGTGGTGACCGTGTGTTTCAATGGCTGCGCACGTGAAGCTCTGCTCATAGAACTGGTTTACCTGGATGTATAGAACAAAGGCCAAGGAAATGCATTTTCTGTTTTTCAGTGAAGAAGCTGATTTAGGAATATTTATTGCTTTCACCTGTCTGTTTCAACAGCACTTTGACATAAAAGACAAATTTGAAATACAAAAATTATTTAAATTGAAGTTCTGACACATTATACAAATATTATCTCTGGAGATTTTTCACATTGTCACATGGAACCTTTGAAATAGTGCAATAAAAAGAGCAAAGTATATTGTTACAGTATTTACTTTGCATCTTTACTGCACTTTGTTGATATTTCACATTCTGAGGTAGATTAAGCAAAATTCTCTTCTTGGCTTATGGAGTTTTTTGTATAGAGACAAGCAATGGTGAAGTGGTTTTGAAATGACAAATGTATTTGTCAATACACAAACTTTATGAAGGAGAGCTAGGCACAAACGTGTCTGTTGACATGCTTTTTAAATTGGCCAGGTTTTCATTAGTTCTATAAACAATATTTCCATTTATTGTTGGATAGGCATAATACCAAGTAACCAAGACAAAAGGATCTCAGGTGAAAGTCTGCGTTCAACAGAGGGCTAATGTTAGAGTATTTCAGGAAAATTAGTGTGGTAATTAAAGAAGACTTCTTCTGGAAATTAAAGCTGTGAAAGTTTTGTATGAGCATGTGATAGCACACAAACATTGTTGACAGACCTAATCAGGAATCTTTTAGATAGTGATGTGGCAGTTATTTTCTTCTAAGAAACATAAATTTATTGATGGGTTAAGAGAAATGTGGTTTTTTTTCCTTAACTGACCACTTCACTTGTTACTTGTGTGCTGCCTTTGCAGCTGAAAGCACAAATTTTCTCATTTGAAGATGGCTGGCTGTGTGAATGAGGCATAGGGGATCCATATGCCCCCCAGGAAGGCAGTGAGTGACGCTTGCACCTAGAAACCCAGATTTCTGTGTCTGTGATACACTGGCTTTTTGTGTCGCTTAGTTTGGGATATAAAATGATACACTTTCCTCTTGGTGATGGTGTCTTTTTCTTTTCCCCTGAATTACCATCATGGTAGCATCGTTTTATCCTCTTGCATGTGTAATTGAATATTTTTGTCTGTCATATAGCTCATGAAGTTAATGTTTTCCTCCGGTAAGGTTTTAGCCTTTTTTTCTCCTGACTTCACTGTTGTGATCCATTTCTGTAGCACAAGTCATCTTTAGCCCACATAAATGTGTAGTCATACACTCCTCCTTTCCTCACTAATTGTAGTTAGGAATAGAGAATTAAAAAAAATCGTGTTCCAAATGGCTCCTTCATGATAAAGCAACATAGTTCAATATAAACAAAACTGTTGGAAATTGGACTTTAAGAATGTAGCACCCATCTGCCTATGAAAAACAGTAAACCTATTTTTAAGCTAAACAGGAACATTTTCATGCTCGATATCTTTATTAACTGTGCAGTGTCTTCATCAAGGACACAGTGGGAGTAAGTGGACTCTCACCAAGTTTGGGGATAGCTCCAAGCTGAGTGGTGCAGCCAATGGGTTTAAGCGAAGGGACGCCATCCAGAGGGACCTTGACAGGCTAGAGAAGGGGACCCTTGTGAACCTTACGGAGTTCAACAAGACCAAGTGCAAGGTTGGCCACCTGGCTTGGAGCAATCAATACAGGCTGGAGAAGAATTAATTGAGAGCAGCCTTGCAAAGAAAGGACTTGGGCATATGGGTAGATGAAAAACGAGACATGAGTTGGCAATATGTGCTTGTAACCCAGGAAGACAACTGTATTGCATACAAAGAAGCATGGCCAGCAGGTCAAGGGATGTGATTCTCCTCCTCTACTCTCTTGTGAGACCTCACTTGATATCCCGCGTCCAGCTCTGGGCTCCCCAGCACAAGGAATATGTGGAACAGTGGAGCAGGTCCAGAGGATGGCCACAAAAACGCTCAGAGGGCTGGGGCACCTCTCCTATGAAGACAGGCTGAGAGAGTTGGGGTTGTTCAGCCTGGAGAAGAGAAGGCTCCGGGGAGACCTTACTGCAGCCCAAACCATTCTGTGATTCTAAAAATTAGATCTTTGTAACCAGTGTCTTGTTTAGGCCTATTCTTTTCTTTCAAAATATGAAATGCTGAATTGCAGGTGGTAGTTACTTGGAATTAGTCTTAATAAAAGCAAGCCTTATAGACTCTTTTGGGATTTTTTTACATTTGCGTTTTTTTCTCTGTCAAGTGTACCTGTGGCTATATGTTGAGTCGTTAGTATCTCCTTTTTTTTTTGTTATTAGATTAATCAGAGAGTTTTTTAGCTTGAGTTCCTTATGAATGGACTTAAATGATTAGTCTGAAAGGAGGAGGTCTTGGAAAGTCCTCCCATTTATAGATGCAAAACAAGCCTGCTTACTTAATCTCACCTCCTTTAGCATGTTTTCTTTTAAGCGTTTGCTTAAGACTACAACTCAGCTGAAGAGTGCTACTCCTACCCTTCTCTTCATCAGTGCCCGTTTGTGACCTAGCTAGTTGTTCAGTGCAATCTTGGCGTTTAAACTGGGAATATAATGAGTTGCACAGATACCATTAAAGGGATTATTTTGTCTTTCAGGTTTAACTATCAGGTTTCAGTTGGACAGGTGAGCACACACGGTGTTTTTCCTGTCACAGTGTCTGTTGTTTTTCAGACTAGGGCTGTGTAGTAAATAAAAGAAAAACTCAACTTTTAGTAAACCTTCTAAGCCATTCTCTGGTCCTCAGCTATTAATGTTTTTCCTGTGTCAGAACAGTACTATCGGTAAATAGGAGTGTTACAAGCAAAACAAAATGCAGTTAGTCAAGAAGTACTCCTTACATTTCTTTTAGGCAAATGTTCTGAACAAGAACCAAAACAAACAATGGCCTGTCTTACAATGACAAATATGGAAAGTACAGCAACTTCTACTGTCCAACAGAATGGTGACATCCGTGGGAATACCAGTGCTCCCAAGCAGACCGAAACGTTGCTTCAAGTGTACCTTTATCATTCTCCTGGGAAGACAGGGGGAGATTACCTTCACTTTCCAGCTGGAGAATATGTTGCAGAAGAGATTTGTGCTGTTGCCTGTAAAGCCTGTGGTAAGTATATATGTAACTGTTTTCCTAGTGAAGGAGTGACATTCAGCTTAATGCAGGAAAGTTGTAAATAATCCAGAGCTCACCAAAATGCTGGCATTTTAACTGAAACACTGTCTCTGTTTTTTCAGAAGTAGTCAGTATCAGAAGTAATTAGCACCAGGCTGCAAAACTCTTCCTATTGGAATGGTTGTGAAACTGAGATTATAGTTGGGTGACTGTCATCTTTTGTGAAATAATTCAAGAGTATACTGACCTTTACCTGAAAGTCTTCTTTCATTAAGCTGAGATATGGTTTGGATAGTTAAATCACAGCAGGAGCTGGAAATAGCCTGAATTACTTTCTTATGCAACCCTGCAGAACAGATGGGTCCTGGAAGTTACGCATATTTTTTATGTTATAAATACTTAATCACTTTGCAGATGGAAACTGTTCTGGCTTGTGTATATGTGGCTGATGCTCTTCGTAATCATGTAGGAAATAAAGTGAGTAAATGACAGGATGGTATATTTGAAACAAATAAGTACATAAAACATGCTTATATCTAAGAATGCCTTTGAACTGTTATATTTACCCAGTTTAGCATGAAGAGGTGCTGAGACCCATGGTAAAGTAACTCAAGCATACGTTTTGTGCATGTGTCTTACTTTCACTGCAAAAGTAGATTGTATTTGTGAATAAAAAAAAAAAAATTTCAATAAACTTCAGATTCTAAAGTGACTGGTTTTTTGTTCCTTATGTACATGTGCATGCACGTGTGCGTACACAGTCTCTCCGTATCTGCTTTTGGGCTGTCAGTGGTACAAGGCTGGATTTATCTTCTAGTTTTCCAAGTACCAATTTGCATTACAGGTGCAAATTAATTTAAGAGAAAGGCTTATAACTCCAAATCTTTCTTTTCCAGTGTGTCACAAATATGAAGCTGCTTACTCTGACTGTACATTTTATTATTTCTAAACATGTTATACTTTTGTGATTTTTGTCTTTCGATTGCTATACTGATTTTAAATATGTTTTTAATTACTTTTACGAAGGAGTCTGTCAGTTTTTTCTGTGCTGTTGAAGGTCTTGTGCTGACTGAGTTGCATGCTGTGAGCTAGTAATTTGCTTGTATATGCTAGTTTCACAAAGATTCTTCTGGATTTAAGCTCCATTTTTCCTTGGAGTTCTTTAAGTGTCAGAGTCTGTCTAAGACCCGAGTTTGTAGAGTTGCCCTGCATGTAGTATGAGAGCTTTAGGCAGATAAGCACATGTAATGAGATCAGCAGAAGCACTGCCCAGGATTCATTCTGAGTGACTGTGATGAAGTGGTATTTAGAGTTTGCAAAGTTTTAGCTCTGTGAGGTTCCACTGCTCTAATGACCCTGTAGGTCTGAGTTTGACAGCTGGACCTGGGAGCATTCTCAAAGTTAAGGCATCTTTTTGATGATGACTCCAGTCAAGATCCTCCAGGTATCTTCCACTGTTTCCCCAAAGTTCTATAGTCTCTTTCCTCCAGTTGAAGGAAAAAAAAACAAACCCAAGCATTGTCTCCCTGCTTTAGGAAATATGCCCATAGTAATTTCTGTAGTAAGATAGATTTCTTAGCCCTGGTGCCTCGTGTTTTTTAGGGTTCAGTTTTGCCTCTGTTTGTCAGCTTAGTTCAGATGCTCAGGTACAGCATCGAAAGGTGCGTGAGGCTAGTGGAGGGGGAGGTTCTTCACTTTCTGAGTGCTAACGTGGTATTGAATTTTTACAGTAGATGATAGTTAAATATTTTTTAATTGAAATAAATACTTTTGTAGTCACTGAGGGTATTGCTTAGGGAGTGAAATAGACAATTTTACTAGATAGTAGTAGGAAAAAATACTTCTTTGTTTAATTAGATATTCATGTACAACTGATTTTAATATTCATTTACCAGCTGTACATGATATTTATATTAAACTGATGAGGGCTTTTATGTATCAAATTCAGTGTGTGTAAAATAATGTGGTCTTTGAAAGAATACACCGTATCATCAACCATGACGTCAGGTGTCTTGCTTCCTTTGTTACCTATCTGACTAATTCTTTTTATTTGTGATGAGGTATTATTGCTCTATCTGAAACACAATTTTTTCAGTTATTCTTCTAATGAATCAGTTAGTTAAAACTCACCTTCCAGAAAATCTCCCAACCTAGTCTGAATTCCCTGGAATAGTAACGACCTTGGTAGTTTGATTAGCTGTTTCTAGTGTTACTGCTTATCTGTCCACTTTTTCTTCCTTTTATCTGGTTTTAATTTTCCTTGTTTCAGTTTTCAGATGTTTGTTCAAGTTACGTTTTTCTTCTCCTTTCCCTGTCACCAATCCTAGGGACATATTTTATGTGCCATGATCAAATTATCTTTAGGTCTTCTTTTTGGTAAAACTTAAATTGATTGATTTCTTTAGCGTCAGTGTTGTAACTAATTTTTTGTCCGTCTTCTGCACTGTCTCCAGTTTCCCAGGAAAATCTGCAGCCCAGGCTATGGATGCTACTCTTCTCACCCACATCACTAACATACAAAATCTAATTCCTGCTAATCCATAAATCCAATTAGTCCTGTTTCCCATGACATCATCTGAAAACTTCGTTTGAGGTCTGTTTTGTCAGACTTCGACTTCAACAGTCCTTCTCATAGTTTCTAGTGTTCTGGGGTGCCAGTTTCTGTTTTGCTGGTATGGCTAGTACCTAGCTCCTAGATGTGTCCTTTTATACTTGACTGTTTTAAAAATAATTATGTATGAATAGTACTCCTTATCAGGTTGGTTTTAGATTTGTTTCTGTTGTTTCAGCATTCTTCACCAGAGTTTCTGAAGTATATCAGTAGTGATTTATACTTACTCGTACAAATAACATGTTTTATCGTGTTGAGCCTTTATCGTTGTAGAGCTGAGGTAGATCAAGTCCTCTGAAGAGTGGTTTCTGCCCGACAGCTACTCTGGCAGTATTGTGCAAGCTTTTTCTCAAAGGAATATGTAACATCCTTTCTTTCTAAATTGGTGGAAAAGGCTGAAATGGCTGCAGATTTTTGTTCTCTTTCGTGTCGGTTATTAGTGCCTAAATCCCGAGGCACCACTTGTTAGTATTTTATGTGTTTTCTAGGTGTGTTTGTGGTTGTAAAACAGAACACATAGGTCTGCAAAGCCTATGCAATAAAATAACGTTTGTGTTGGTAAGGCTTGTCTTTCAGGAGTTAGCTGTGAGTCAGAATGCTTGATAAAGAGAGTGGTTCAGGTCGTAGGCATGTCTGAAATATAACAAACTTAGTAATTGTTAATTAACTTTCTCTGTGATCTGAGCAATTGTTAGATCTCTTGATAGCAGAGCTGGTTACATCAAAGTACAACTGTTTGTTTTTGGTGGCAAGCAGGTCTGGATCTAGGCAACCATCCCCAGTCACAGAGACAATCTTGTTATGTACCTTTCACACAGTTCAAACAATTGAAGGTTTTCCAGTCTGTGTTGACTTGACCTTAGATCTGTTGTATGTGGCATGTATTGACTATATAAATACTAGTCTGTCTAAATATTATTTTGTAGTTGCATGCCAGCTTGAGGCATGCATGCAGAAGCTAAGCCTTTTCTTATTTTATTTAAAAACAACTTCCAATTTTTTGAAAAATATAATAAATACGAAGCTTTTTGTAGGTTTGTGTTTTTGTATGGAAAACTGTCTGAACAAGAAACTGAGTATCACATTTTCTAACCAGAAATGCAAGAATAAATGAAGTATTTGGAAGTGAAGTTTAAATTGACTAGTCAGTGTCGTGGTTCAGCTCTTGTACGTTAACTAGTATCTTAATCACCATGTAAAAAATAATAAGTGTGACACCAAAGCCAAGGGAAGTCTTTGCTCTCAGCCTAAGAGAGGAAGTGGTGTTAGAGGAACTAACTGATAGTGGAAGTGAAATATGACAGAGAAATCGTTCCATAGCTTACAGAACGATTATGTTAGATGTGTCTTCTAAATTCAGTATCAGAGACTTGTCTTCCAAAATCATTATCTTTAACCCTTTCATTTTCGCCTCTCTCTCAAATAATCTTAAATGGATTTCTCTCTTAATGTGTTTACATTCAGTTTACAAAAATTTCAAGCAGTCAAGGCCATTCTAACGCAAGTAGTGGTTCAGGAAAGCCGCCAGAGCTGATGTGAGAGGGATAATGCAATTTTCATGTAATATTTTACAGAATAAATAAACGTGATTGTTTACAGAATATTGATAAACTTTGTTTATAACTTTGGTTTTACTCTTAATGTAAATTATGAAAAAAATCTAGAAATCTGTGTTTAAAAGTTAGCAGGTGTAATTGAAAATTGCCTGGAGAAGAGAAGACTCCAGGGAGACCTTATAGCAGTCTTATGGTACTTAAAGGGGGCCTACAGGAAAGCTGGAGAGGGACTTTTTACAAGGGTGTGTAGTGATAGGACACGGGGCAATGGATTCAAACTGAAAGAAAGTAGATTTAGGTTAGATCTAAGGAATAAATTTTTTACATTGAAGGTGGTGAGGCACTGGCACAGGTTGCCCAGAGAAGCTGTGGCTGCCCCATCCCTGGCAGTGTTCAAGGCCAGGTTGGATGAGGCTTTGGGCAACCTGGTGTAGTGGAGGGTGTCCCTGCCCATGGCAGGGGGTTGGAACTAGATGAGCTTTGAGGTCCCTTCCAACCCAAACCGTTCTATGAACTGAATTTTGTTGCGTTATAGGTAAATCAGATACGGGCTACTGGGAACATCTGAAGTCTTTGAATTAGAATCTGGGATGTATTTGTTTGTATACAGAAAGAAGGATGTTTCATTTACTCTATTATTATAACTGCTGTACCAATAACTTTACAATAAGATACTGCCAAGTCTCTTGTAAGTGGATTTAAGAGTTTTTATCATCGGATAAAGTAGTTGGGGAAAAAACAAACAAACCACCAAAAAACCCAAAAATTAAACAAAAAAAAAACCCCACAAACCAAAATCAGCCTTGGACTGTACACTGTAACTTACC